ATGGCCATGCTATCATCCCTTTTCTTCCATTCTCTTCTCAGGATTTTGGGCATGTACTTACATGCATTCAGATTGATTTTCAAGCCACCAAGGTCTGGGACTGGAACTAAGGTGGACCATGTGGGAATCCAGCACCTTAATCACCACATCACCTGCTGGACCAAAGATACCTTTTATAAAAAGGATTACTACATTCTCCAGAAATCCTAGGTATGTACTCAAATGTATTGAAAGCATGTATTTGCACATCAGTAAGCATGGCTTCATTCCCAATAGCTAAAACTGTAAATAAATCAAATGTCTGCTGAACAAGTGTATGAAAAAATGTGGTATACACATGCAATGGAGTATTACTCAGCAAAATGGAATAAAATTCTGACACATGCCACAACATGGAGGAAACTTGCAGCTGTTAAGTGAGATAAACAAGTCTCAAAAAAAAATAAGCTACTGTATGGGTTCACTCATATGAGATTGATAGAACAAGTGAGTATTTCATAGAGATGAAAGTAGAATGGTTCCTGAGCACGGGAAAGGGAGGAAATGAGGAGTTGTTGTTCAATGGGAACAGTTTCAATTCTGGGTCATGAAAAGTGATGGAGGTAAGACAGTGGATGGTCCAACATTGTCAATGTACTTAATGCCACTGAACTGTATACTTAAAATAGTTAAAATGTTAAATTTTACCTATGTATGCAACAAAATAAAAGATTTTTAAAAAGAAAAGCTAGACTTGAGAGAAGAAAATTTGCTAATAGCATCTTCCTATCAAAAAATGTTAAGAGTGAATTGAGCTATTGACATAAGATGCCTTATATTGAATGAGAGTAAGAATGCTGCTTAGTTACTGTGTAACATCTGTACAGGCTGCCTTCCATCTAGTATATGGTATAGTCATCTTATTCATAATACACTTTACAAGGAGTCTTCAAAAAGTTCATGAAAATTAGGTATTAAAAACTATCATGATTTTTTTTTCTTTTTTTCACTAAAATAAGCTTGTACTTTATTTCTCTAGAACATTTTGAAGTACCTTTATAATGCTGATGGCTTTTTTTTGTTGGGGTGTGTGTGTGTGAGTGTGTGTGTGTGTTTGGAGAGGTTTTCGCTATAGGGCGCATGCGCTCGCCAGACAGACTGAGAGAGACAGAGAGACAGAAAGCAGGAAATCACCCCCCAGGGGGGATGGTCACGCCACAATCCGTTCTCCTCCATTCTCCTCTCGGGATCATGGACACGCCCACACATGCGCCCGGCGTGAGTTTTAAACCACCGGGTCCAGGATGCGAACTGTGGTCGGCTACGTGGGAGTCCAGCGACATAGCCATCATGCTAACTGCTGGTCCCTTGTTGGTGTGTTTTAAGATAATTGGACATGTCTGTCATATGTGTTCTGTAACATTCTGGAAGATATTGAGACAGGCAATAGATGTGGAAAATTTTGCCTCCACCTTTGCCCACAATTGCAATAATTTCAGGTACCCTAGACAATATGTTCACCACCCCTGTGTTCATCATTTTCCTTCTTTTTTTTTCCCCTCTAGTTATTGGGTGACATCAGCTATTGCTATAGACTCTATCAGCAATCTCATGAATATAAGATGTCCTTTCTTATTTCACTGTCCTAAGTGAAAAATGATTCAGGGCTGGCCCCATAGGCTAGTAGCTAAGGAAGTCAAATTCTACATAGGTGACTGCAGTTTTAAGTCTCAGCCCAACAACTTGAAAAAAGTGCTGGGTTCTTGAGTATGCATGTCCCAAATCCTAACAGGATGGAGAAGTGGAGAAAGGAAAGGATTATGGCATGAACATGCTCTATTGGGGGATTCTCTCTCTCTCTCTCTCTCTCTTTCTCTCCAGCAAGTACACACACTCTCTGGCAAGTAGAAGGAAGGAAGAAAGGGAGAGGCTAGGAAGGTATAGAAGGAGAAATTATTTTTTTCAAGGCAAAGCAATAGAGGTAATTTGTAGGTGATGCTGAATTCTCCATTGAATGGATCTTATCCTTCTTTGTCCTTAAATATACTTTGCCAAACACTGCCTTTAACTATGAAAAGAACATTGAAAGATTTTCTTTTCCTGAACTTTCTTAGGTAGATCTTTATTTAAAACAAGCCGTGAGGTCAGCAGGAGGCATAGTGGTTAAGGAGCTGGACTCCCATATGGCCAACCACAGTTCCAGTCCCAGACCACACAGCTTGACAGTCACACTGGGTGCATGTACTTGTGTGCCCAAAAGCCAAAGAGAAGACTGGAGGAGAAAGGATTGCAGCATGGTCATCCCCACTAGGGTGTGATTTCTCACATTTCCTCTCTCTGTCTCTGGCAAGTGCATGTGCCAAATTGCAAAAGCCCAAACCAGACAAACAAACAAAAACCAGTTGCAAAGCCAGTCATATTCAAAATGTTGATCTTTCATTTGTATATATTCCATTAATCACAATAAAGGTAAAGCCACATGTGAATGTGCATAGGTTACAAATCATTTCCTAAAGGAGAAGAGTAGAAATAAATGATTTACAAGCAACTTTTAATGCCTTGATTTAATAGCATTGACTCCTCAATGCTCCCTGCTTATATAATTATTTTCAAATGCTATGGAGTGTCTATTCTACAATATTTTTTATAAGGTGTTACAAGCTTTTCTAGAAATATTTGATAAAAAGTCATTCTAAATGACTTGAACCTAAAAAGCAACTGGTTTTTCTTTTTTTCTTTTATAATAATTTAAAAAGAATTCTTTATAAAAATTCATATCACACATACATGTTTAAGCTTGCAAATAAGTAAAAGAGAAAGAAAACTCGGTAAAAGCTAACAGATTTAGAAAATACATAGAAGTGTGTTTGAAAGCATCCTTTCAGAATAAGAATAAGAAGTTTAAGATTGTATAGCAAGTAGAAAATAGGGTATTAAATCTTGCAAATAAGTAAGAGAAAGAAAACTCGGTAAAAGCTAACAGATTTAGAAAATACATAGAAGTGTGTTTGAAAGCATCCTTTCAGAATAAGAAGTTTAAGATTGTATAGCAAGTAGAAAATAGGGTAGAAAAGAAAGTTAGTGGAGATTGAACTTTAAAGACGTAAAGGTGGCTCCAGGTTTAACCATTAGGAGAAAGATTTTTAAAAATCAATTGCTTACTTGGACATAAGGCCCAAGAAAGTTTTTCTTTTTCTTTTCTTTCTTTCTTTATTTTTTCCAGAGAGACTTTTGCTACAGGGCATATGCAAGCACTGGAGAGACAGAAATTGAGAAATCATGCCCCAGGGGGAATGGCCAGGCCACAGTCCCTTCTCTTCCATTCTCCTCTGGATTTGGGGCATACATGCACATGCACCAGCGTGAGTGTCAAGTTGCTGGGTCCAGTATTCAAACCATGGTTGACCATGTGGGAGTCTAGTGATGTAACCATTATGCCACCTGCTGGTCCCGATTGTGGAAGAATAATACATAGGATAACCATTATGCCACCTGTTGGTCCCCCAAGATTGTGGAAGAATAATACATAGGATAATCATAGAACAAAAAGAAGCAACAAGGTAGAGGAAAGCCCTAAAGCCATGTCACAAAAAGCAACCAGTGCAAAAATGAGTTGTTCAGCTCTCTTAACTCCTCTGCCATTCCTAGTACCAATCCTTATAAATTCTACCAGCGTTCCCATTTTTGTCAATGTTCTACCACCTTCTCAATCACTGTTGCTTAAAATGATACAGTTTTGCTTTCCCCTTTGCCTCTCTATCTAACTATTCAACAAGTCCTGACAGTACTTCCTTCAAAATGGTTCACAAATATAGCCTTTTTCTTATTCCCAAGTATTGCTACCCAATTTCAATCTCTGCAAATTTTACTTTGGGTTACTCTAATAACTATCTTCTTTTTGTCTTTACTAATTTTTGTTCATTTAAAATTAATTTTTGAGACCAGCAGTTAGCATAATGGCTATGTCTCTGGACTCCCATGTAGTCAACTGTGGTTCACATCCTGGACCCGGTGGCTTAAACTCACAGCAGGCCCGTGTGCGTGCGTGCCCAAGATCCCGAGAGGAGAACGGAGGAGAAGGGATTGCGCCATGGCCATCCCCCCGGGGGGTGATTTCTCGCTTTCTGTCTCTCAGTCTCTGTCTGGCGAGCGCATGCACCCGATAGCAAAAAACTCTCAAAAATAAATAAATAAATAAGTAAAATTAATTTTTATTAATTGTTTGACTAATTTATGAAGACAAAATTTGCATAACAAGAACTTTACAGATTTAAAATATCTAACTTGATGAATTTTGACACATGAATACACAAACAAGATATTGAAGTTTTCCACAACTCCATCCTAGAAAGTTTTCTTATGTCTTCTGAAATCAGTCTCTTCCCTCTCCAACATTTATGGCCAATTTACTTTTGACAAGAGTGCTAATATCCAATGAGGAAAGAATAGTTTAACAGATGGTGCTATGAAAACTGGACAACCACATCCAAAAGAATGAAGTGAAACTCCTACTTCACTCTATATACAAATATTGACTCCAAGTTAATCAACACCCTAAATGTAAAAGCTAGAAGTATAGAATGATTAGAACAAAACATAAGGATAAATTTTCATGACCTTGGATTTGGCAATGGCTTCTCATATTTGACACCAAAAACAATAAAGAAAACAATAGATGAATTTGACGTTATCTAGATTAAAAATAGATTAAAAATTAATATTGTCAAGGAAATAATAAAAAACCTACTAAATAGGGTAGAATATTTGCAAATCATATATCTAATTTGGGTGAAGACATATCTAAAAGACATAAAGGACACTTAGAATCCAACACAAAAAGACAAAACTTTCAATTAAAAAAGTATGCAGTAGAAGTGAACAGTTTCTTCAAAAATACTTACAAATGCCAACAAGCATGTGAAAGATGTTCAACTTCATGAATTTTTAAGGAAATATAAATCAAAACCACTTCACACACATGAAATGTTTATAATTATAATAAAAACACAGAAAGTAGCAAGTGTTGGTGAGGATGTGAAGAAATAGATTCTCGGGCATTGATGGTGAGAATGTAGTATGGTGCAGCCACTGTGGAGAACAATTTGGAAAAAAAAAGTCTCAACTCACTGGTACATACCAAGAGAAATTAAAACAAATGTGTATACAGAAACTTAAACATATATATTTTGGTTTTTGTTTTCTTTTAGTTCATTTCTTTTTTTCATGAGAGAGAGATAGAAATAAAAAGATAATCACCCTGAACAGAATCTTACACCATTACCCCTCTCCCTCAGGCTTTTCTCATTCAGCTAGGATGATGGGCACACTTGGGTGTACGTGCTTGATGTGTATAGTTGACCAGTTAACTGAACCCTGATCTTCCATATGGCTTCCAGAATGACAACATGTTGATCTATCACTGTGTCACTGTGGCTGGGCTTAAACATGAATGTTTACAGAATCAAAAGCATCAGAAGGTGGAAATCACCCAAATGTGCATCAACACATGAAAGTATAAGCAAATTGTCCCTATATCAAATGGAATATTACTCAGCCATTAAAAGAAATGAAGTACTAATACATGCTACAACTTATATGCTCCTTGAAAACATTATGCTAGGCAAAAGAAGCCAGACACAAAAGATTACATATGGTACAATTATTTTATATAAAATATCCAGAATGGGAAAATTTATAGATGCAGAAAGAAGACTAGCAGTTGCCTCAAATGGAGGGTAAGACAAATGAAGATAAGTGTTCATTTAAATGGTATAGGCATTCTTCTGGAGTCACAAAAATGTTTTGAAACTAAAGAGGGGTTGTAGAACACTGTGACTGCACTAAATACCACTGAATTCTATATTTGTAAATGGTTAATTCTATGTTGTGTGAAATTTACCTCAATAAAAAAATTGATGAATCAGGACATAGTAATATGGTCATATTATTACAGAGATAAAGGTAACTACAGTAACACTGTTGAAGTCAATAGTGGTTGTCTCTGGAGACTAGGATTTGGAGAAGAGAAATAGCTAGTAGGAGACTACATCTACTACTTTTTAATATGTATTACTTTTCATTACTACATGTATTACTTTTTAAAAGGTAAGTGTTGTAGGATGCTGGGGATACTGGCAACTCTGTGTGGATTCTCATGGAACTGAAGAGAGTAAGTCCTTTTTGATACACATAGGAGAATAACCACTCTCAAGAGTCTTCTGCAGAAGTAAAATTCAAAGCTGGCAGTTGACAGTCAGGGCTATGGAAATATCCACTGTTAGCTAAATGTCTAGAGGGTGATGAAATAAGATACCTGAGTCTTTTGTCCCATGGCAGCCATCGAGCTCCAGGTGCTGAATCCAATCCGTCTCCATCACCATTGTTGGTCTGAGTCTGGATTCCTTCCTGATGGTCTGGCAGGTGTCCTCACACACTATTTTTAGAGCCTGTTCTAAAAATTATCTCAACATTTTCTGAAGAATAAGCCACATATCAGACTAGTCAGTTCTACTTCCAAGTATGTGTCCAATGGGTTTTCTTTGCACCATCTTCACTACCAATAATTCCCACCACCACCAAGTGCATAAGCCTCCAAAGTGCTGTTACCCATCTCCATTCCACCTCTAACTCATTCTCCAGTCACCACTCAAAATAACCTTTTAATAAAATCCAATCATCTCACTTTCTTGTTTGAAACCTTTCAGTGGATTTCTCTTACTCTACAAATATTTCCAAGCTCTTCATGCAGCTTACAAAGGCACACAACCCAGCCCTTTTCATTTTATCATCTTTCTCTTTTGTGATCTTCTCATTTCTACTCACCCAGGGCCTTCACTCATGTTCTTCAATCCTCCAGAATGTTCACAGCTCCCAGAAGCACCCACCCCTATCGTTAGCTGGCTAACTCTTTCAGGTCCCAGGTACCCATTAAGGGTACTGCAGCTCCCTCCACTAACCAGCTCAGGTCTCCTGTGGCTCAGTCTCCGCTTTTCCTTAGACAGTGGAAGGGTGCTGCAGCTCCCTCCACTAACCAGCTCAGGTTAACCTGTGGCTCAGTCTCCGCTTTTCCTTAGACATACCTAGGCCAATTTAAATTACACTGTGTTTAGTTATTATTTGATTTCTCTCCTCTCTCTCTCACTAGTCTGTACACTTCTTGAATAGGGTATGATCTGCAGGCATTTCTGAGCTACCATTTCTTCATTCCTTAACAGGCTTTAGCACATAGTAAATGCATTATAGACAGTTGTTGAATGAAATAATGAATGAATGGGTAAAAATCATTTCTCTCTCTTTTTTCAAAAAAAGTTTATATTTATGACTGAATATCTACTAATTTGCAAATAAAATTAAAATTTTTATTTTTTCCATTGCTTACAAATCTTAATTAGGTCAACCATAAAAAAAAAAAATGACATGAGACCCTGGCATTTTGACAAAGTTGATTAATATGGAAGACTTAATGCTAAGTGAATTAAGGCAGACTGTGAAAGAGAGGCATTGTATGTCCCCACTTAATATACACTGAATATCTGTTCTCTATGGCAGAAACTGAAAGACGGTAAGGTATGAAAACATGGAGCACAACCATGGATACTAGAGTCAGTGTGGGAAGAGGGTGGGCAATGTGAGGCAGGAAGGGAGGGAATCAAGAGGAAAAAAGCAAAATATTTAATAGACAAAAAAAAATGGGAAATTATCTGTTAATGATAATGTGCATGGTAATGTCTTTGTCTGGACTGATATGCAGTGTATTCATGCTGGGAAGATTTACTTTGTATACTGTGGAGATATACAGTGATTAAATGTAAAAAGATGTAAATGTAAAAAGAAAGTAATTAAGTAAATACATAGATAAATAAATTTTAAAACACAAATCTTAATTAGTTGCATTAAAATATATATCACAATGCCAAAAAGTAGAAAAATCATTAAAAATGAGGAAGAGCACCTTTAAACAGGATCCTCACAATTCTATGCACCAATGCAGCTGTTCTAATTACAAATTACAAGTTTGAGAAAATGACAAGTAATTCTGAAGCAAGTATTTTTAATAAAGAACTTACTCAAACATTTTAAAATCCAAAGTAAAAATATTTTTAAACTTCAGAGCACAATCATATCCTTAACACAAGGTTAGCTCACAAAGCTCACAATAATTTGAGGTGTGATTTTAAATAATTCAAGGGGCTTGCTATATCATTCTAGTTAGTCATTGTCAGAACACTACACATGTAATGCTAAGTGGAAGTTTCCATAGCAATAGGATTTTTACCAACAGTGTTTACCGTTACGGCTACCTGGGCTTTTTCATGGTTCAAATTTTTCCTGGCTCAGTCAGACTACAGCTACACATTAGCCCTAAGCTAGAGTCTGACAAGACGGCAATGTTTATTTTTCAGAGGGGCAATTCTGAGTGTATGGACTGGCTGCCAGGGCACCTCCAGGTCTGGGCATGAGCCCACTCTGCCATCCACACTCTCTGTCATGTATGCCCTTTACTTTTGTATAGTGAGGTTTTTTGTTTTGTTTTGTTTTGTTTCCAGTCTTTTTAGGGCACTTGTATTCACCAGAGGGAGACATAGAGAGGAAAAGTGAGAAATCACCCCATGGGTGGCGGGGGAGGAGGTGGTGATGCAATCCCCTCTCCTCCATTCTCCTCTCAGAATTTTGGGGGCATACACATACACACACACACTCGCATCCAGTGTGACTTTCAAACCATTGGGTCCTGGACTTCAGCCATAGTCAGCCATGTGAGAGGTCAGTGCCTTACTCACCATGTCACCTTCTGGCCCCAGAGAGGTCTATTTTTTTTTAGGGGGGGGATGTCTTCATGACAATGTAGAGAGTCACCTCCAAGTCAGGAACTAGGAGTTGCAGACCCTCATCTTTCTCTATGTGAAGAAACCAGACTTTAAGAGGTTATACTATCTTCATTCAACATCCTACAATGTCAAATTCAATTTTAGTACTAGGAATTTCCAGATTTACATTTATATCTTTAGATTTAGTTTTAGTAAACTAATATATAATGAGTGCTTATTATTTATTGCCAGCCACTGTTCTTCATTCTTGAGAACATCAGTTTAAAGAAAATATATATATACAACTATGTCTGCACTCATGAAGTTTACATTCTAGTACAAGAATTACTAGGTTGTCCTTTTAAATAAGGAGGTCAAGATAGGCCTCCTTAAGAAGAACATATTTGGAATCAGCAGGTGATCTGGTGATTAAGGCACTGAATCCCACGTGGTTGACTCTGTGGTTTGAGTCCTTGTTGGCCTGAAAAGCATGCTAGGCACTTGTGGGTACCTGCCTAGAATCCCAAGAGGAGAATGTAGGAAAAGGGACTGTGGCATAGCCATCTCCCTGGAGGGGTGATTTCTCACTTTCCCTCACTTCTCTCCATCTTCAGCTCTCTCTGGTGAGCACACGTGCCCCATAGCAAAAATCTAAACACACAAACACACACACACACACACACACACAAACACAAACGAGAATAAGGGGGTAAATTCCATGTGATTATCTCTATCTCTAGGAGGTGCACCCAGGACTTAGTTCAGACGTAAGTAATGGGAGAATGGTGTGATAAGGATTATTAAAAGTAAAAGGGTAAAAAGAGGACACACTATATACGTATTTTGGAAGTAGAACTGACTTGTTGATTAATTGGAAGGGTGGTTCACACTTTCTCCAGAAGGTGTTGAGATGATTTTTGAAATAAACTCAAAAGACGCTAGATGAGGACACCTGATAGAATGTCATTAATGCAACTAGACTCAGGCCAACATCGAGCTGCTGTGAAGAGGAGTAAGGAAGTTCTAATAACTGGAGTAGGGAAAATGAGGAAAGAATAGAAATAGAGGAGGCTGGAGAGAGAACAGGGACCAAGACCATGGAGCCTGACAGATCATCAGAAGAAATGCATTTTTTATTCCAAGAGAAATGAGAAGCCAGAGGAGAGTTTTGACAAAGATGTATGATCTTCCCTTGCTTTAACCAGATTGCTAGGTTTATAATAGTCTGTCTAGAACAAGGAAGAAACAGAAAATTCAGTAGCATATTGCTGCAAGGATCCAAGCTTCATATGAGGTTGACTCAAACCATGTGTTGGTGAGGTCATTGGAATCTTCAGGTAGTGTGTACTGGGGAGACAGAGCTCACAGGGCATGCTAATGGGGGAAGCGTAGTGTGGGGGGAATGAGAGGAGGGAGGATAGCTTTAAAGCATTTGGTGTGAGCAACGGGAAGCACAGCAGCACCAAACATCAAGAGGGATAAACTGAGTGGACAGGTGTAGGAGGGCAGAAAGGGAGGTTGCTTTTAAACAAGTTATGTTTAAGCTGTCTATCTAACAGACATGTGCAGGACGCCATTGGATGTACAATTCTGGGCTTCACACATTTTCTTTGTCTGAGATATAAACTGATGTGTTTTCCTTTCAGTACACGGTACTTGCTGCACCCATAGGTTCACAGGTAGGACTTCTCCAGAATGAGAAACACAGTGGTTACACTGCATCTTCTGGCCACCTTCCAATCTGCACCAGCCTTATTTCCAGGAAGAGTACAAGGCACCCTGAATTTCACCTCGAAAGACCCTCAACTAAGGAACCCCCTGCTTGGTATGTCAGAAACCCTATTGCAGAAGTTCAGACTGTGAAATGGAACTTTATAAACTGGCACTGAGATTGATTGAATTCGGTACCATTTCTCCAATATCTATAGTATATTTAATCATTTTCCTACTTTAGCAGGAGGATACAATTTTGTTTTTATATCCTGCTAGGAGAATTTTTTTTAAATCTTGAAGAAGATCAAGAGTTGCTGAGTTGAACCAAAAGAGCCACCGAATACATCCAAATAATCTCATTGTTGGTTAACAATGAATCGATGTCAGTGGAATAATCATATTTTAAAATTTTTCCTATAAATGTGACATATGCATCCCCATGTGTCTGCAGAATCTCTGCTAAGAATATTTCAGTGAATGACAAGTTGATTGGCCCCCAATTTGAAAAGCATCGTGTATAAAAACATAATCTCAGGGTGGCAAACATTCTGACAGATTCTATATTCTGCTCATACCCAGAACTGGTTTGAACTGTTTGGGGAATTTTGATAGTCTGCAAATGCTAGCAGCAAAGAAAATTGGCTAGATAAGAAAAGAAGGACAGAGAAGGAATGGAATTAATAGCTGTTGGGCAACTATTATCAGTCAAGCATCATATGAGAGAAAATGGTAGGGCAAGGAGTTTGATTGGTAATCATTGTTTTTACCACCATGGAAACAGCATGATAGCACTGGAAAGAACATAGGTTTTGCAAATGCAGACCTCTAGTGCAAATCCCCATTCTGTCACTTACTGTGAGATGTCAAACAAGTTATGTCACTTCTCAGATCTTCAACTTTTACATTTATTAAAGAAGGATAACAACACATCCTTTCTAGGTAGCTGTGAGAATTGAGCTAGATTATATTTGTGTATACACACATATACACAATGGGCTTGACTTATTTCTAACGTCACACTATTACAAATGGTGTATTGGAGAGACTCCAGTATCTAAACCACTTGGTAAGGTACAGGCCATTGTTCAGATGACCGTGGGGAAAAGCACCAGTCATCATCAGATGCCAGGCAGTCACCACAGAGACGTGACAAGGTGAACAGAATCCAGCAAAAGTCTCTCTCTCCTGTCTCTTATCTAACCACCATTGGGACTTCTCCTGGGTCTCCTCACTCATTTTAGTGAGATTGTCAAAACCTAATGTCTTTTCCATTAAAACTTCCTAAAAGAAATCCTAATAGAAAGTAAGACATGGTGGTGAAAATGTGTCTGATTTTTTGGGGAGGGAAGGACATAAAGAGCCTTTTAAACACTCCCCTACAGGACTCTAGGAATATACTTCTTGCTCCATATTGATGAGAATCCATCAGAAAGGTCTGCTCTCCAGACTGCTGATTCATACGGGATTTGAATTCCATTGCTACTTTTATTTTCTTCAACCTGCTGAGAATAAGAGTAAGGATGTGGGCCAATTCCAAATCCTGGATCACAAGGAGAAAGTTCAGAAAACTGGATGGCATATGGAGGCTGGGGATTAAGTGGGAAAGTGAGATGGGAACAAAAATAAAAACCCTGGAGTGAGAGAAAAGAAGTGGGCCAAAAGTAAAGGCAGCTTGGCTTTCCAATTCAATCCCAAGGGGACCTCAACTTTCACATGAGAATGGTGTCTCTGATTTGCTTTGTAAGCAGATATTGATTGAGTTTTTCAGATTGACTCTAACATGAGAAAATCCATGCCTCTCGGTTAGAAGCAAGAGTGGATAGATCAGCTTTTTCAATTGAATTTGCCATCAAGCCAGATGAAGATGTAAACAATAACAAATGAGGGCAGGAAAGTGATTGCATGCCTTATCCTCATTTTTTTTTTTCACTCTTCTCTTACATAGGCAAAATTTTCTTGAGAAATAGCATCTGCTTTGGAGGAATTGAAAAAAAAAAGAAAGAAAGAAAAGATCCCAAACACAAAATTGCAGTATAATTCCCGAATATGAGCTGCTTTCTTTTTTAAAATGCAGAGCTATATACGGGGAGCCTCACTGGGGAAAATGGGGCAGATCCAATAAGTAGGACGAGGAAAATCTCCACGTGACCTATACAAAGACACACAGGGAAGAGTGTAGGAAGAGTTCAAATCCACGTGCAGGCATACCTGGAGAGAGGTCCATGCAAGAGGGTCAAAGCCAAAGGTCAAAGCTGTGGTGCTGGATGCCATAGCTGAAACTGCGACCAGAGATGTTCAAAACCTGGTCTCTGCATGCAGGGCTTCTACTGCTGGAGTGTGACCTCAAGCTTTCTCCTGACTGGGAGAGGAAGGAAGAGGCTTAGTCAGCTCTGCTCTGGGCTTTGGCATACAGTACTCATTACTCTTCATGCCCTTTTCCGTGAGTTCTTTTTACACCTCTTTTTGTCCTTGGAGGGCTAAGATTCAAGGGTAAGGTTAGGTATGAACCATATTTAGCCTCGGTCTTATGCCAGAGAAATGAGTCATTCTTGTGACCCACCTGTCCTCCAGCCCAGATACCTCAGAGCTCTCTACACACATGGGTCAATTCATGAGGGATCTGGGAGAGAACCTCAGAATCGCTTGGCAAGGAGGGGAATGTGTAATTTTCACCTAGCAAACTGACTACACACACACACACACACACACACACACACACACACACTTGCATTTGAGCATATCTGTACTTCTTTTTTCTTTTTTTAGAGAGAGATTTTTGCTATAGGGTGTGTGCTCTCACCAGAGAGACAGAATCAGAGACAGAAAGCAGGGGGATGGCCACTCCACAATATGGATGAACCTTGAGGATATTATGGTAAGTAGAAAAAAAAAAGTCATGTGTCAGTTGGTGGAAGACGTTTAAGGTGGCTGGATCTCACACGGCTGACTACAAGGTTCAAGTGCCAAACCTGGCATCTTGGAAAACACACATGGTTGCATGCATGCCCAAAATCCCAAAAGGAAAACTGAGGAGAAGGGAATGCTACATAGCCATGTTCCTAGGGGGTGACTTCACTTTCTCTCCCTCTCTTTCTCTGTCTCTCTCTAGAGAGAGCACACCTCTATGGGTATGCACTTCAAAAAGAAAGAAAGGAAGAAAAAGAAAGAAAGAAAGAAGAAAGAAAGAAAAGAAAAAAAGGAAGGAAGGAAGGAAGGAAGGAAGGAAGGAAGGAAGGAAGGAAGGAAGGAAGATAAAAGAAGAAAGAAGAGAAAAGCCAGTCACAAAAAGAACAAATACTTCCATAGGTATCTAGACGAGTTAAATCAGAGACAAAAGTAGAATGGTGGTTACCAGAGGCTGAAAGTAGGGAGTGAGTTAGGAATTTTGTGTAACAAGTAATGAGTTTCTGTTTAATCAAATGAAAAGAGTTTTTTGGAGGTTTGTTACACTATAATGTGGAGGTACTTACCATTACTGAATCAAACATTTAAAACTGTTAAGATGATCAATTTTATGTTATGTATCCTACCAACATTGATTTCTTTTTCATTAAATGTACAATCTGTCATCCTATTAAAGGAAATAGATTCAAGGAGTGAAGTTGTAGCAGGTAGTCCTTAACAAAGAATGGGGTTAGGAGTCTAGAAGGCCTGGGAAGAGATTCAGAGGCACGGGGAACAAAATGCCGAAATCCATCTGAATCTATCTGCACACCCCCACTAAATCCTGATGGACCAAAGAATGTCTCTGGGGCTGAGGAGATCCTACTGTCAATGTATTTATAGCAGAACACTGGAGGGTGGAGACTTGAGAGAGTAAAGGTCTTACAGCTAAGGGGGCAGCTTTGCGCATGGAGGGACATGAGGATAACAGTGAGCCACAGTGGAGTGTGACAGGAGAGGTGACACTGTCAGAGCAGGAGATGAGAAAAATGAATTTGGCAGCTGCATGAAAGATTGACTGCAGGGGAGCCATGCTGGAAGTAGGGAAGCCGGTGAGGAATGGGTTGTAATTATTGGTCTTGGAACATAAGCATTTCCTTGCCATTAAATTGATCTTACCACAATAAGTCACAGTATTTACCCAGTCCTACAATAAAATGGCTCACTGTTTTACAGTAACAAGTCTCCAAGGAAACCCCAATATTAAAGTCTCAACAGACGTGAAAGGAAAATATTGAAGAAAGGAAATCGAAAAGAAGAAAAAAATTGGAGAAGAAACAGAAAGACTAATAAAAAGGAAAGAAATTCCAAAAGCAAGTGATTTGTATTAGAGAGCTAGTATTCTTTTTTTTTTTCTTTCAGAAATAGCTGGGACATCTAACACTAGCCAAAAACAATGTATTATCATTCACATACTGATGAATATTTCTTCTAAAGACTGTTGAATAACCAAAAGCTACAGAGAGAAAAGCATGCGTGTGAACACACACACACATACCACCACCACCAAAGAAAGAAAGCACCAAACATCTTATGAAACAGTAGTAGGGTCCCGTTTCAAATGGAGCACAGAATTTCAGTGAGGGAAGGCAGAGGGAAGCATGTGTGTGTGTGTGTGTGTGTGTGTGTATACAATATACGAGGTTGGTAGGTGCATCTGATGGAAAATAAAGGATAGAGCTTAACAGACCCAGGGAGAGTGTGGTGGCACTGACTTACATGTGGATTACAGGTAGACTTTATTGTCAAAGATATTTGCTAACAAGAATGTGCTTATGAAAGAGCATGGATGCAACTAAAAATAAACTTACATTTTTTTTAGAGTTTTTTGCTATAGGGCACGTGAGCTCACCAGGCAGACAGAGAGAGACAGAAAGACAGAAAGCGAGAAATCACCCCCCAGGGGGGATGGCCATGCCACAATCCCTTCTCCTCCATTCTCCTCTTGGGATCTTGAACACGCACGCACATGCGCCTGGTGTGAGTTTCAAACCACTGGGTCCAGGAGTCGAACCGCGGTCGACTACATGAGAGTCCGGCGACATAGCCATAATGCTAACTGCTGGTCCCATGAAGTCTTAATAAGTACATGTCTAAGACAAGATGACCACACTTAATGTAAGTGTTGAGAGGATTAAGATAATGTATGTAGAGTGCCTGAAACACTACCTGACACATAGTAGGTACTAAAAAGGAAAACCCAAGAACTATAATAAAAATAATTTTGCATTATTTCTATATGTATATCTAAGCTATTATTATTGACTATTTCAAGAACATTTACCTGACCACATACCTTCCCAATAACATGTATTTTTTAAGCATAGGACAAGTGTTAGGTACTGAAAGAATATAGCAGCCTCTCTGCCCTAAACAAGCTTAGAATATAGCCTGCATGCATGTATTAGTATATGAACTCTCCAGACACTAATATGCTGGTATCAAGAAGAGGTCAAGTACACAGGTGAGAACTCCAGTTGATGGAGGATGGCAGCACCCTAGTCACTATCCACTGCAGTGCCCAGGACTGTACAGGTCACCTGTGGATGTAGTGGTGCCCTCAACTGGAAGGAAGACCTGAAGATCAATAGATCTTAATTTTCAGAGTCAGAGATGGGCCCCAAGATGGCCAAGTCATGGTAACTCAGAAAGTAGAAAAAGAGCAGAGTAATGTGGAAAAGTGTGTATTAGATGAGGTTCAGGGCTGCCAGCTCACCTAGGAAGGCAGGGCATCTACTGGGTTTCTGTTGGTATCCCTGCTCTATTCCCAATGACCAGGTATTGGCAAAAGCAAGGAACTGGAGCCCTGAGGCTCTTTCCAGAACAGAGGATCAAGGTAAAGAACAAGTGAATCTCTCCGCCTCCACAGGCCAGTCCATGACACTGCTACTTCAATCTCCTATTGCAAACAGATACTCAGCGATCTCCAGCAGCATCTTACATAGATTGTTTTCCACTCAGCCAGCCATTTCTATGTCCCGTGGTCACACACTTGCACCCCATCACGTAGGAAGGGAAGGCAGGAATCAGACACAGAACCACATGTGATGTCATATGTGTTACTCAGGACATGAACATTAAGTGAGATGGATGGAGAGGCTTGAAATAGGTGAGGAAGATGAATGGGGAGATAAACAGAAAGACCACTAGATATATGTGGAAGGGAAGAGAAAGACAGAACAGAGGAGCAGGTCAGAAGCCATTCTCAAAGATAAACAACTGCAGGCTCACTCTGAGATGGTGGGTTATTTGGAGGGCTATTACTATGAAGAAAGTGGAATTTAAGGAATATTCATATGGCAATCCCAACTTAAAGTATCCCAGTGAAATTCTCCCTGTCCCTCCCCAACTCCATACTCTCTTCTGCTTCCTGAATCCCGATCTCCCCTAATAGACCACCGCCCAGCAAATCCCTCTATGAAAACACAGGAATCACTGAACTCCTCACTGGTCTTTTGCATCCGTGCAGACATTCTTTCTGTCTACACCTCCTTCTCAAAGTAGTTTCAAAATTATCTTCCCATCTCCATCCCTGCCATTACAACTTCATTGCCCTCATCTTCTCTTGGCAATTTTTCTTCTAATTTTAATGTCCTTCAGTTTATCCTCTTCATTGTCACCAAGATGTTTGCTCTTATATTCAGGTATGGCCATGCTACCACCTACTCACACTATTTTACCAACCCCATTACTTTTCTAAGAAAGTTCTTGGCTTTCATATGAGACCCTTCATGATCTCCTCCTTGCCAACCTCCTCTGTCTTATCACCGTTCTTCTCTCTTCCTCAAACAACTTGTTCTCAGCCTTAACAAACTATCTGATGCTTTTATCCTTAGAGTGAGTCAGTTTGTTTCTACCTCAGGACCTTGCATGTACTGTTCCATCTTCTTGGACTGCCACGTTCTTCCCTCCATGTCTCAGCCATCGAATTAATATTTACTTATTCTGAAGACAGGAATCTAGGTGCATCTGTTGCCTTTTAATGAGGCTCCCCTGATGATTTAAGTACTGATTTAAGTACTTAAAGACTGATTTAAGTACTCCCTCTGTCTCTCCCTGGTGCACTCTTCAGCCTTCCTATAGCACACACCACACTGGGTGCACCTGTAGACTCAGCTCTCTGTTTACCTCACCAGGCAGAGAACTCTCAAGAACAAGGTCTATTTCATCCATCCCTGTGTCCCCAGCCACTATCAGAGTGCTTGGTTCATGGTGTGTGTTTAATAATTGTGTGGTATTTAATGTATACTAAGTGTGAACAAATGATAAAAATCTGTGCCCAATAGAAAGAAAGCATAGAACACCTGATGTCCCCCTCCTTTTTTTTTAATTGCTGGGGACACATGTATGCCCCAATGGGGCATGGTCATGCCCCAATCCTTTATCCCCCCCTTACTCC